AACGCATGTTCTGACATTGGTTCTAGATAAGCAGCAATGGTCGATAATTAAATGCAATCATTTGGCATATTGTACATTTCATTTTGTCGGATGTCGTTGACACTTTTTCTCTCCCTCTCTCTCTCTCTCTCTCTCTCTCCCTCTCTCTCTCTCTCTCTCTGTTTGGGTCTCTCTTTTTACGCACGCAATTGACAATTGACATGTTTATCTTATCTTTATGAGCTTGTTGTTGCTATTGCACTTGGCTGACTGGCTGCTTATTTCGATTATCTTGATAAATTACGACGCTCGTGACATCCAACGGGCGGGACATTATAACCTTTTTTTTTTCGTTTTTGTAGTTGCTTTTAATGAGCCACACGCAGCCCTTGAAAAACGCGCTGAAAATGGGCCATTGTCGTTGTATTTTTAAATGTGCTAACTGAAATTTACGCATCATTTGCCCAGTTGTCTGTCGGAGTTTGACATACACGCGAGTTGTACTTAAATTAGCATCTGTGCGTTGCTGCGCAGTTCACTGAGTCCATAAGCCTCTTTGTTCTCATGCCTCATGAGCATTATGTATTCATGTATTTATGCCTTTGTACTATGCAAAGCCAGTTAAAGTTAGTCAGCCCACAAAACTGACCCCCCATAATCAGCATCAGCATCATCATCATCATCATCGTCAGCTCAGTTTGTTGGATGAATGATGTTTGTGATTCACTGAGCCCAGCTGTTTCAGATACTCTCGCTCGCATTTGTTGCGTATTCATTTTCAATAATCTGTGCCGCCCATATATTGCGAGCTCTCGCTTTCAAATTAATTTGTATAATCACTCGTTTTTTTTACAATATTCGTATAGATTACGGCAGCAACTATTTAAAAAGCCCTACATCATCTAAAGGTTATTCTCAATAAGCATTCTTGGTAATATCGCGAGTAGTAACCACAACAAAGCAGCCACAAAACAAACGCCGACATTTGTCGAGAGACAACTAGTCGACAGTTGTTGTTGTTGTCTTTTTTGTTATTGTTGCTGTTTGCAGTAGTTGAGAGCCCAGAGAACCCAGTGAACGATCAGCTTTTATGACTCACATGACTATATCGTTGTTGTTATTGTTATTCTTTTTTTTTTTGTATGTATTCTGTATTGCTGCTGTCAGCACACACAAAGAGAGTTTTGCAATAAGCAAAGAACATATGTTGTGTTCGTATATCGGATATCAAGGGAGTCAGTCTATTGAATAATTAAGAAGCCCAACTCAGCGGAAGGCATTTCACAGATCTACAGAGGGTAGAAAGGGCGAAAGGGAAAGGAAGAGAAAAATAACTCAAATTGTTATGAAATATTTATGATTATATAGTCAGTCGGCGCTGCTTGCATTGATGAGGGGATTCTCCACCAGCAGCAGCATGGGAAAATTGTGGGCAACACTTGTCACCTCGGTCTGGCGGGGCGGCCCGTTGTCTGTGAGAGTTGCCACAGGCTAATGTTGATGAATCTGCCTCATTTAGTGGGACTTTTCAGCTTAACAACTATAAATTATTTCATCTTAATAGTCATCATCGGCAGAGTTTTAAACAGAATGCTGTTTATTTTTGTATTTGTGCCTACAAGTTTTTTTTCTGTCTCTCCATATTTCGTGGAATTTTATTTTGATTTGTTTGCCATCGTCGACGTCGTCGTCATTATTGTTTTGAGTATCGTCAGATTTTTTCAGTGTTTTTTTTTTTATTTTATTTTTTTTTTGTTTTTTTTTTTTGCTGCTCTCATAAAGCTGGCGGATTCATTGATTCATTCATTCATTGCGACGTGATTTGAATTAAAGTTGCAAGTTTGATGGCTGATGCAAATTTGATGATGAAGTGAGTTATCTAATATTTATGCAAATATCCATCTGTTTTTTGATTGAAAGTTGTGTGTGCAGCTGTTTTTAATGCTCTCTCAATCTATCTTCATAAAACAAGAGCAAATAAATAATTTATTTGTAGCACATGCTAAAATTGTGCTTTTTGTTGCACATAAGTAAAGAGTAGCCTTAATCTGGATATGTACAATATCTATATATATTCATATATATTTGAGCAACTAGCTTTAAAATTGTGTTCGCCCCACGAGAGGCCACCGAATGCTGCATAGCCATTGCAAACAATCCAGGCACAAGCCTCTTACATAAACAGCAGACAAAAAACTGCAAAAGCAACTATTGTGGCATGTTTGACTGCAAATGCGTTACTTACACGCATAGCTAATACACAGAAACACATACATACATACATGTATAGACATTCATACATTCTATGTATTTGAACACTGGCCACCCACACTTTCCTGTTGTGGCGCTCACTTTAATTGCGAGAGAGTGTGAAAAGTTGTCGATAAGCAGCAGTTGTAGTCGTTGTCAAGCAAGCTGCCTACCGCCACTGGCATTCGAATTTAAAGTATAATTATAAATGGTACATTAATCAATCTGTGGTCACGTTTTGTGCTTAGCTTGCCAGTGTCCATCAAAGTAACCGCAATAAGACAAGACAAGACCAACAACCCTCCTCATTTCCGCATCGAGTCTAATTTCATTTAGTACAATTAAAAGAGCAGCAGCAGCAGCAGCCAGTGTGTAACAACGCTTTTACTTCTTCTACTCAGTGTGCAGTAGTTCGCCAAGTTAATTAACTATGCAGCTCTCCAACTCTCTATATTTCTCTATATCTCTTTTGCCGAACAAGATAAAACGCTGACTGATTAAGGTTGTTATGGTTGCTGTTGTTGTTGCTAGAACGCCAAGCAGCATTAAGTTGGGCATATTAAGTGTTAATTAAAAAGCTAAAAAAAAAACAGAAAACAGTTAAACGAAATCAGTTTTTACCGCACAGCATAAAAGTCATGCAAGTTCAAGTTTGTTGCTGTTGTTGTGGGTGAAGTGAGAAGTTTTTCCTGTTAAAATGCATGAAGCACAGAAACAGAAACAGCACGTGCTTTGTTATTGGAGCATGCAACGTTTTATGCGATGCTGCAGCACAAAAAAAAAAACAAAACAAAAAGCAAAAAAGAGGCGATGAATCAACAAAACGTTGAATGCGGCCGAGTACGGAAAACTGTTTGTCTGTTTCCTGTGACAAAACGCAAGACTGGAACAAACAACAGAAAAGTCCACCTACGCTCTGCTCCGAGTCAGAGTCAGAGTCAGAGTCTTTGTGTTCCTGACGTGCACATGTCGCGATGTGAGATAAATGCAACAAAACAAAAAAAAGAAAAAGAATGGTGTAGGGGAGGGGAGGGGGGGGGGGTGTTGATTCACAATCATCTAAGACACATAAAATCTCTGCCTGTAAATCTGTCTGCCCACACAAACAACTGCAGAAGGAGCTGCAGTTTCCGCTTGACGGCTAGCCAGAAGAGTCCTTTAGAGAGTCACTGGCGTATACGAGACAATATACAACAACAAAAACAACAAGTAACAAGCAACAGCAGCAATGTCAAAAGGAATGCGGACTCTACTTGCTCGCTCTTCAACACTGCTTACGCTCTCTCTCTCTCTCTCTCCCCGTCTCTCTTTGTTTGTTGACTTGTTTGCAAGCGTTAAACATTTGCGCTGCTTCAAGTGCAGCATTTGCTGCTGTCCAAGGACACACAAGGCTTGCCTTTGCGGACGACAGGTGTAAATGATGATGTGGAGCACATAAAGAAATGCGCCAAGGTGGCTTCAGACTAGGTTGCATGCATCCGGCTCTCCATACATGTGTTGTTTTTAATGCAGACAGTTGCATTTTGATTATGCTGAAGCACTCGTCGATGCTACCAACAGACAAACAAACATTTAGTGTGAGGGTGTCTCTGTTCTGCTTCTGCTGCAGCAGCTTCTGTTTATGATTCTTGTTGATATGTGCTGCAATTTAATTATAAACACACAACACGTGCCCATTTCTTTATTACAGCAAAAGGTGTGCAAACCAAAGAGTAACATAACACGAATTAAATGTGCTGGCATTCCTGGCCCTGAAGAAGTGAAGTGGCTAGGAGGCAGTGGAAATGGAGGCAGTTTCAGTTATTTTTAGCTCTATACATACTCAAATTCTCAAATTTATGCTAATGCCGTTTCAGACACGCGAACTCTTTAATCAAATCGCTGTTTGGTCAAAGCAAAATTGAAATTTGTGGGCGTGGCGTGGCGTGGTGTGGCGTGTGTTGCGTAAGCAAGGCAAAAGTTGAGGTGATTTGCTAAAATCGCAAATATTGCGCATACCAAAAATGAACTGCTTGCTTGGTCAGTTATCGATCCTGATATGAAGTAGTAGCTGTGTTGCACAGCGAAAATTGGTTTGCTTAACTCTCGCAGTGTTTAGCACAAAATGCCTGCAATAAATATTATGATAATAATATGCATTGAATGCTCTGCAAACGGTTCATTCACTTTAGTTTTAGTTTAATGGAATTAATTGTCATTAGTTAGTGGCCATTTGTAAAAGCGCTTGTCGTATTTTGTATTAGAGAAAACTGAAAAGCATCAATTGAAATAATCAACGCCATTTGCTGATTGCCTCCGCTGCGGCATAAAACTTTATATGTATATAAAAAGCGGAGGCAAAAATCAACTTTTCATTCGTTATGGTTTTGTTATATTCTGTTTGATTTTATTTTATTTTTATTTTTTATTTTGAATCTAGATCGTTGCGCTGGTCACTGCACGACATCGTCGTTGTAGTTGCATGTGGCATGCGGCGTATATATAATAATAATAATAATAACAAAAGCCACAACGCCTCACAGTTGTCCGCGTTTGTTAACTTAAAACAAAAGCGCCTCTGAAATGTGGTCAGCAGCAACAGCAGCAGCAGAAATAAAAAAATAAAATGCATAAAACGCGAGGAAAATCGTTTATTCACTTATACGTTTACACGTTTTATTTGTTTGTTCATCTTTTGTTCGCATGCCAAGCGCACATTTAATGGTGCCAGGCTCAAATATATTGAATTAAAAATGTTGTAAAATATTGAACATGTTTTTACCTTTTTACAGGGCGCCAACAAAGAAATCCGCGAAGCAATCGCCGATCCATCGCCAGAGGTGCAGGGCAAGGCGTGGGCCGCCGTTCTGCCGCTGGTCAAGAAGCTGAAACGGTGCTACGAGCACTCCATGGAATTGGACAAAATAGTGCCCAAACTGTTGGGTCAATTGGTTGGCGGCAAACTCAATCCGACACAGCATCTGGAGACGCAGCAGGCGCTGGTCAAGCAGCTGGCCGAGATATTGGAATTTGTGTTGAAATTCGATGAGTACAAGGTGAGTAGCAGTAGCCCCTCAAATCCCCTCCCCCCCATTTACTATTAGTAGTTGAATGCGTGTGTTGTGTGTGTTTGTTACAAGTCTGCCAGATTTGGACAGACGAGACGCCCACTTGACTTTGGCGCGTGGGTCAAGCAGCTGCGTTATGTCTTCTTTTGAGCCGCGGCCAAGCAACGTTTGCAACGTTGTCATTTGCCAAACCTTATGTGGGTGCAACAGCAACAGCAGTAGCAGCAGCAGCAGCAGCAGCAAAGACAGTGGAAGTCTTTGCTGCCAACTCATTGCGCGCGTGGTTGCATTTTTAATTGGCAGTCCCCAGTCCCCAGTCCCACTGCCTGCCAGTCAGTTGAGACGAGCGCGTGCTGCGATTCATTGATGAAAAATCGTTCAACTGTTGCTGTGTTCTTCTACTCTTCTACAGTGAAGCCTCATTTGAGCAACGCAAACACGCACTCATTTAAACGGCCTGTGTTGGCCAATTGTCGGCGCATCACTGAACACGCAAAGCGGAACGAACAACTATTTCCAGCCCCCAACTCCTCCCCTCGTTGCGTAGTGAATATTTCTCCATTGCATCTGATAATTGCTCTGGAAATAACTAATGCTGTCCAATTTAAAAAAAAAAGCTGACATTTTAAAAATGAGCAAAAGTTGAATAGATATATATATATATATATATAAATAAATGTGTGTTTATTCAATTAAGATATTATATACATATTTCTAGATTGTTTGCTGCAGTTTATTGTTACAGTCAATTGTGGTCCAATGTAGGTTAAATTGGATGCGAATTCTCTGCCTCCAACGCACACACACACACACACACACAGATACACATAGGCATAAGTAAATCTGGCAGTTTTATTGAGTGGACCAAACAAATCGATTAATGTTGTGGCAAATCTCTGTGTATGCACATTTTCCCATGGCTCGTTTCCGTTCTGTAAAAGTTGGATGAAATCGAATAGCATGTGGTTTGCCAGACAGACAGGCAGGCAGGCAGGCAGGCAGGCAAATGACAGAAGAAGTCAGAAAGCAATGGCATCGTTTGATTCTCTCCTCTCGTGTCTGCCACAAAAGATGTAAATGATCATATTGGTGCTCATGATGAGCATCAGCATGAGGATGATGATGAGGCTGATGTGCATACTGGTTGCACGTTCATTGTATGCTTAAGTGTCAGTTCAAAGACTTGCATAAAGTCTGTGCACTTCATTCCACTCATACTTATATATATATATATATATATATAGGGACCAGAACGTGCCTTACCACAAACTAATAGTAATAATAACAGACACTTGTGTTTCTAGGCAATAATCTCGCTCGCTGACCCCCCACATTGTTGCCGCTTTTTAAAGGCTTGCCGCAAAGTATGCTGCAACATTCCAGTTACTTGCATCATGCAAGCAGTTGACTGAACTGGCAAAGCAGTTGAAGTGCAAACTTCACAACTATTTAATAAGTATTTAAATATTTTTCGACTTGACAAACAATTAACAAAGTAAAATACCGTTGAAGTTTTCGCACAGTGGATTGAATTTAATTTAAATATGTGAATAAGTCGGTTTTATTTTAATTTACTTGTCGACAAAGGATGCCCCAGTGTTGAAAAGCGGCTGCAAACGTTCCGGATATTTGCGTAAATAGTCTGCATAATGTTTGGCATAGTTTGCCTCCAGGTTGGGACGTCGCCAAGGCTGACTTGGCTCAAAGTATTCGTTGTTGTTCCTGTTGTTGTTGTTATTGTTGTTGAGGACCAGTGAGCGAGTGCCGCCAATTCGAACGGTTCGCTCCTCCTCGCGCCGGGTGTCGGCCACGGTGAGCAGCTCTCGTTGCTCCAATTCCTGTCGTGATTGTGGCTGTGATTGTACTTGGGGATAGTAAAAGTAGCCGGGCACATTGTTGTAATTGTGATTGGCAGCTCGCATTGTTGTCGCTATATAGTTGTTATTGATCCAATTTTGTTGCTGCCTTCTGTCCGTTGTCTGCCCATTGTTGTAATATTTAATTGGCAAATAACTTCGTTGCTGCTCCAGGCTGTTGGCCTCATCATTCACTACGATGGGCGCACTGGACCACACCGATTGCACACCATCTGCAGGATATTGATAGGTGTATTGTTGTTGTTGTAATTGTTGTTGCAACTGTTGTTGCACCAGTTGTTGTTGTTGTTGATTAATGCCGTAAAACTGCGTATTGTACGTTGATGACGCATATTGGGCCGTTGTAAAACTTGACGCTATCAACAATAACAATACGACGAGTATCTGGAAATCAACAATTAATTAATCATTTGTGTGAGTTTAATTATAGCCGTCGAATCAATAAACAAAATTCACTTACCCGCTCACAGCTTTTGAAGCTGCTGCTGCTGATGTGGATCCGTTCGGTTTGGCGCATTGTTACATACTGTTAGAACGATTTATGCTAATAACGTATTTATATATAGAGTTTCGTTAACAATATCTAGTATAAAACGTTGGCATGTTTCGAGTGCCGACCCCAAGGTAAATGATGATACACACTCTGAATGGCAGCGGCGGCTCTCTGAAGTATTTCTCACGCACGACACCAGTGCAGCCCTGATAGTTAAATAAAATTGCCAGCCCGACTCAAATCTTAGTTTTTGGGCCTGGCTTCGAATTATAAAAATTAAGTCCGATTGCGATGTCACGTACTGCAATTAGAGATAAATTAATGTTAGCTGCAATTAGAGTGGCACCAAAGCAGTGCATAACTCTTATTTACAAAAGCAGTAAACTGCACTGCACTTGCAAGCAGTGCACACAGTTTGCTATTAATTATTAATCTATGGTTTTTGCTCCACTGTTTTTTTTTTTTTAGATGAAAACACCTGCCATACAGAATGACTTCAGTTACTATCGGCGCATTGTGAGTCGACAGCGTGTGGATTCCACAGAGAATATGCAGGTGAGCGCTGAGCTGGCGAATCGTATGTCGCTCTTCTATGCGAATGCCACGCCCATGCTTAAGGTGCTCAGCGAGGCGACATCGCGGTTCGTCAATGATAATGCGGACGATGTCCAGAATACGACAGAAACGCTTGGCACAATGGCTAAAGTGTGCCTACGAATGCTGGAGAATCCGTAAGTGGCCCTTGGATATATCCGCATACTGAATTACTATTGACTGCTGCCCCCATTTTATTTACAGCAAACTGCTGCAACAGATCGAGCGGGAGGAGACACAGATGCTGGTGCTACGCGTCATGGTCGGACTGGTCATTCTCTACGATCATGTGCATCCGACGGGAGCGTTTGCGCGCGGCGCCCACGTCGATGTGAAGGGCTGTGTGCGATTGCTGCAGGCACAGCCGGCGATAAAGGCGGAACCGCTGCTGAATGCCCTGCGCTACACGACGAAGCATCTCAACGAGGAGAATACGCCGAAGAATATTCGCAATTTGCTGGCCGCATAATGGCGGAGATCGGCGGGGATAATGCCAAATGCAAGCGCCCACAATCGTTTTGTTTATGTGTACAATTTGTAACGTTAACTTTGTTTAATGATTTAAACGGTTTTTTATTTATGTAATTAATAGGCTTCTACTACGAGTATATAAATATATATAAATATTATGTTTAAATTGTGTGAGTGTTGTGCAGAAAGGAGGCAGCAATTAGTTTTATTTATGAATTTCCAACAATTCTATTAATTTGTAATTTTTCTTATTGTTTAGCGCGCCTCCTTGTGAAGTAAATATGCAAATATATATCAAGAAACAACCAGCAACAAAACAATATTTAGCTCATATTTTAGCACTAATATTAAGTAATAAATATTACAAATTGATTAAAGAAACAAAAAAAAAGGAGAAAAGTAAATTAGCGCAAAGTATAAAATAAAATAATAGAAATGAATATCCTAAATTTCAATTTCAACTACTAACCAGAGATTATAACTTTAAATACATTTTTTTAAATCAAATTTAGCTTATTTTTTTGTACATGACTACAATTAATCAAAAAGAACAAAATACAATACATACCAACTAAAATGGCCTGAACAAACTGAATGAAACCACACGCAGTAAAAACGCAGATGCATTTATATTTCCATTTTCTACAGAAAACATTTTATAAACATATTAAAACGAACCTTTCTATGTCTGATTATGAAAGAATGCTGCGCAATAATATTAATTTTTAAGATTTACAAATAGGAATTTATAAAACTGTATTGAGAAAAGAAAACACAAAAAAAAAACAAAAATAAATTGAAAACACGCCGAAAGATTTATATGTATATGCGACAACAACAAACACTTGCCGAGAACAAGAAAATCAAAATAAAAAAGTTATCGCACAATATGAATTATATGAATAAAAGTTGTTTAGTTGTCTCGCCGAAGATAAGTCAAAGAATCAATGAATCAATTACGTTAAATATCCCATACCCCAAAAGCTTGGACCAATTTTAAAGACTGTTCATTTGGATTTTAAAATGATGCTTTTTTATTTATAATAAGTGGAGCCGAACATTTCAGAACATCCTTGTTATGTCCTGGCTGCTCCTCTTAACCGCAGCACGCATCTGGCGCCACATTAGTTTGGTCGATCTCAGCCGCCGCGACGACGTTGCGTACGAACCTTTGATGATGTCCTTTGGGCATCGAATTTTTCAATTGAGCTTTAATTTTACGAAAATCAGAATGGAAAACTTAATCAATTTTATTTTGTTCAACTTGCCTGATGCCATGCCGAAAACGACAGTCAGGATGACAACGACGAACAGATATATCTTCATAGTTGAGATTGGTGGGTGAGCTACTGGCTTCTGTGGCTTTACGGTGGAGAGCGCACTCTATTTATACCCGGATTCCAAGGCCGCTAACAACTTACAATACTCAGTTTAATGAGCTACGACAAATTACTATATTTCATCATAAGCTAAACAGGTGAAAATAAAACGCTTGCAGAAAGTTCTCATAAAATACAGCTTTTAATTAAATTTTCGGTGCTAATTAGCCATTAACTTACAAGTTTTGTTTTTTACAAAAATAAAATAATAATTAAAGTATGTGAAATATAGTAAGAATAGCAAAACTATAAATATACATTTGGAAAATCGTTCGACATGGTAAAGTCTCTAGTCAGGTGTACTTTGTACTCGTCCGTAGAACCAAGTTAATAAGCAGTTATAGCCCAAGTAGACTCAGGCTATTGCAGAAATTCCAATGGACAAGACTCAAAGAGAACGTCATTTATTAAACTATTGCTTGGGCAGCAGAAATTAACAACGTCATTAATAAACAAATAAAAACGAACACAAATAATTAATTTGTACAGTTTGGAGTTATCAAATATAATTTAACCAAAATAAACTTAAATATTTATTTTTGTAGTATGTATTAAACTAGTGTTTTTGGATGCGGTTAAGCCACTATCTTGGAAGTGTGCATCATAGTCATTGTTTATATTAATAGGGCAAGCCACAACTAAATCGGTGTCCCCTCCTAAAGCTTTATGTATTGTTGCCGTTGTTGTTACTTTGTCGCGGCTTCAGTATCAGTTTGCCGGTGTGCGGCTCCAGGTCCAGAGCGAAGTCCGTTAAAACATTTCGTGTGCGTGACGTAATTATCTGTGGAGCCACCACCAGTTTTTGTATGCCCAAAATGAAGAGCACTATCAATGTGACGGTAGCCACAGTAAACACGGGGTGGATCCATAGTGATTCTGTCAGCGGCACAACCGTTGTGCGTGGATCTTTCAGCCAGTACCAGGCGCTAATTGCCGTACAGACGGACAAAGCAGATAGTATCACTAAAAGAAACGTTTTTCATTTAATAATGTTTTGGGCGAGAAATAAGTGCAATCTTACATCGCCAGCGGAACGTGGATGGCCTGTAGGATGATACCACTTCGGTGAGGCGTCTCTCAAATGCCTTCAAATCCTCGCAATCTGATTGTGACATCGCGCCAAGTTCTTCGATGCTCGTGGCTGTCTGTAAGTGTTTGAAATTGTCCAGTTTATTCGTGTAATGAATTCCTTTTTTTGATAAGATTTCACATTTGATTTGTTTTTGTGTGAAAATTGTTCCTAAATATTGTCAAATATTTATACCTAAAAAAATACCAAACCGGTCGAAGCAGCCCTTCTGAACTTCCTTCGAAATACACTATAATTTAATAAGCGGGAATAAATAACCCCACTGCCAATTGAAATAGTTTATTTTAATCAGGAATTACCAAAAAAAAAAGGAAATAGGTATAATTTGAGTAGGCTTGTTTTTTTTCTGCATTTATGCCACAAGTGGCAACGGTGTAAACAAGCGCAGCTGTTTGACTTTTTCAAAGCTTACTAACACTATATCTGTGTCATATTGCAACACTATTTACTACTATCTAATTGCGCTTGCAAACACTCACAGAGTCCGCCAGAAATAATTGCTGCAACAAAGTGAACAAAAAAATTATGAGTAGCAAGGAATGGAAACGCGTGGTCAAGTTGGAGTACATGAAAATCCGTCAGCAAAAGCGCTACAAACGTGCCGATGAAATCAAGGAGGCATGGATTAAAAACTGGTAAGCAGTCAGCGCTAATAAAACGTGCAACTTGGCGTCGCGTTTATTGCATTCGCGCTCATTCCATTTTTGTTGCAGGGACGAACACAACCACAATGTGCAGGACTTGTACTGCGAGTCCAAAGTGTGGCAAGCAAAACCCTACGATCCACCGCACGTGGACTGTGTGAAGCGCGCCGAGGTAACCAACTATAATGGGGGCAACAGTGGGCCGCAGCGAGTGCCCATTTGTGTGATCAACGCTGTCACTCCCATACCCACAATGTACACATGGGCGCCCACTCAGCAGAACTTCATGGTCGAGGATGAGACGGTGTTGCATAACATACCGTATATGGGTGATGAGGTGCTCGATAAGGATGGCAAGTTCATCGAGGAGCTCATAAAGAACTACGACGGCAAAGTGCACGGCGACAAGGATCCATCGTTCATGGACGATGCCATATTTGTGGAGTTGGTGCATGCGCTGATGCGTTCGCATAGCAAGGAATTGGAGGAAACTGTGACCAGTCCCACAATCAAAACAGAGACTATAACATGCAAGACATTGGAGGAAGAGGAGAAAAAGGAGCCACCAGCAGAGGTGGAGACAACGCCAACAACTTCTTCAGCTGCCTCCTCTGCTGCTGCTTCTGCTACTGTGGCAGCTGATGATAACAATAAGGATGTCGAGGACAAGGATGTGGAGGACAAGAAGGATGTGGATGTGTCTGCTGCAACAGAAACACAGCCCAAAGTGGAGGAAACGAAAGAGAAACTACCGTTTCCGGCACCAATTATATTCCAGGCAATTAGCGCCAATTTTCCGGACAAGGGCACCGCCCAGGAGCTAAAGGAAAAGTGTGTTCTGCTTGTGTGTGTGTGAATCCTTGGAATTGTGTGTTAAACATTTTCCATTTCATTGCATTCAGGTACATTGAGCTCACCGAGCATCAGGATCCGGAGCGACCGCAGGAGTGCACGCCCAACATCGATGGCACCAAGGCGGAGAGTGTTTCCAGGGAGCGCACGATGCACTCATTTCACACGTTGTTCTGTCGTCGCTGCTTCAAATATGATTGTTTCCTTCATCGTAAGTAACATGTTTCCGCTCTGCCCACACAGCTGAGTATCCTCTTAATAACTTTTTGTTTTTGCTTTTTCTCTTTATTTGGAAAACAAACAAAAATTGTTGCAAAACATTTCTTTTGTCCACCAAAAAAAAAAAAAAAACCTTAAAAAACTTGTATACAAAAAATATAACTGCAATTTAGGTCACCATGTACAGGGTGAGTCGTTGTTGTAGTTGTTGTTTTCGATAACCACACGCACACACACTCATGCCGCCTAGGCCCAAAACGTCGCCTTGCTCCACATCATCATCTACTATCTATCCTTTATATATAAATGTATATGTATTATGTCTGTGGAAATTGGCAAAAAAAAAAAATATGTCTTGCGTCAAAATTTTATTGGTGTCTCTCGCCTCATTTCGTGCGGCTTTTGCCTTAAACATTGTTGCATCCTTCGTTAAGTTAACGTATCTGATTCATGTTCTAACCCTAAGCGTCTCATAGTCATGCCGTCTTCTTTAGTTCTACATGAAATCCAGTACTAAAATTGTTTTTGCATTTTCGGTTAACAGGTTTGCAGGGACATGCTGGTCCCAATCTGCAGAAGCGACGCTATCCCGAATTGAAGACCTTTGTGGAACCCTGCAGCAACTCCTGTTACATGTTGATTGTAAGTTGCCAACTGCCACTTAACTGAATAATCAAGAGATTATTTTTATTTTGCTAACAGGATGGCATGAAGGAAAAGCTGGCAGCCGATAGCAAAACGCCGCCGATTGACTCTTGCAACGAGGCCAGCTCAGAGGACAGTAATGATAGCAACAGCCAGTTCAGCAACAAGGATTTCAATCCCGAAATTGGCAAGGATAATGGCATAGCGGTCAACAGCGCTGAGATTAACTCCATTATGGGTAAAACAAAATTGAAATTTCAATCGATGTTAACTGTTTTAATACTGTCTCTCCCTCTGATGCAGCTGGCATGATGAACATTACCAGCACGCAGTGCGTGTGGACTGGTGCCGATCAAGCGCTCTTCCGGGTGCTGCACAAGGTGTATCTGAAGAACTATTGTGCTGTGGCGCACAATATGCTGACAAAGACCTGCCGCCAGGTGTACGAGTTTGCGCAGAAGGAGGCAGCCGAGTTCAGTTTTGAGGACTTGCGTCAGGACTTTACTCCGCCGCGCAAAAAGAAGAAGAAGCAACGTCTGTGGTCGCTGCATTGCCGCAAAATCCAGTTGAAAAAGGACTCGTCCTCGAATCATGTGTGCAACTATACTCCCTGCGATCACGCCGGTCCCTGCGACGAGAACTGCTCGTGCATACAGACCCAGAACTTTTGCGAGAAGTTCTGCAACTGCAGCAGCGATTGCCAGAACCGATTCCCTGGCTGTCGCTGCAAGGCGCAGTGCAACACCAAGCAATGCCCTTGCTATTTGGCTGTCAGAGAGTGTGACCCGGATTTGTGTCAGGCTTGTGGTGCCGATCAATTCAAGCTGACCAAAATCACTTGCAAGAATGTGTGCGTTCAGCGTGGATTGCGTAAGTTGATCATCATCGAATTCTTTAAATTCTGTGCTGTAACTTTGCTTTTGCAGATAAACATTTGCTGATGGCACCTTCCGACATTGCTGGTTGGGGCATTTTTCTGAAGGAGGGCGCCCAGAAAAATGAATTCATATCCGAGTACTGTGGCGAGATCATATCGCAGGATGAGGCCGATCGCCGTGGCAAAGTGTATGACAAATACATGTGCTCATTTCTGTTTAATTTGAATAACGATTTTGTTGTGGATGCCACACGGAAGGGCAACAAAATTCGATTTGCCAATCATTCAATCAATCCCAATTGCTATGCAAAGGTCATGATGGTCACCGGTGATCATCGCATTGGGATCTTTGCCAAGCGCGCCATTCAGCCGGGTGAGGAACTCTTTTTTGACTACAGATACGGGCCCACCGAGCAACTTAAATTTGTTGGCATCGAGCGTGAAATGGAAATCGTTTAATCTGCTTACATTTACTTTAAAAACTACTATGCATTCAATTAAATATCAATCATATAAATATCAATCAACTAAACTGTTTTTGCCACATTGGCTATGATTGGCTTGGGTCGCGACTTGAAGATTAACTTCTTGGTGCAGATGGCTCTCACTGTATACTCGGTTCGCTGGCGACTCTTGTGTTCCAGCGCCACGGTTTCATCCAGCACAGTGTGTTCAGCTGCTGCTGTGGCATTCAACGCACTTGCATCCAGCGTGGCATTCGTTACATTCAGCAGCTGCTCTCCCTCGTTTGTCTTGGACTTCTCGAGCACTGCAAACGGTTTGTCCAGCTTCTGTTCCCGACCTTGCAGTATGTGATGGCCTATGATGAGTATCTGAAATCAATTTTATCACATGATTTATTGGCAGGCTTTTGCTTGACTACAAAGACTTACGGGCTGTCCATATTTGTTGTAGTAGAGATCACCTATGAACTGATCGTGCATGCTCTGATTGCTGCGCACCTCCAGATCACCCTGCAGCTCAATGATGGCCCAATCGTCCGGACCTGTGCTACGCCTGCAATGATATAAGAACAATCAGATATCAGATAATTGAAAAGTGATCTACATTATGTGAACAGTAAAACAACATTAATTGAGTGAGTTAGTTTTATTGAGCTGCGAACTATTTCACTTATCCTCTAAATTTCTTAAACAATGGATGAACGCTGCCGATATTCTTGCGTCGATGCTCATAGTAAATGGCGTCATCGCCGCCAGACATCGAGCTGAGCCCGCCCATACGTTTAGTGGTGCCAGGGCCGTTTGGACGATAGCCCGGCTCGCCAGGCACTTTCTCATCCTCGCAGTCCAAATCGGAGGCGGACAACACCAGTTGCAACAGTTGACCCTGCTCCTCTTGTGTGCCGTAAAATAGATCCGATTCAGTGTCCATTCCCTTGAGATGTGTAATCACCTTATAGCTATAGCCCTGATTCACAAGAAAACGCTGACGCTTGCGTGAATAGCTCATCTCCATGGTGTCCTGCGAGACGAGCGTATAAAAGAAGGCATTGTATTCCTCGGCAATGGCACCCTTTTTGGCGCGCAGAATACGACCCAAACGCTGTGCCTCCTGTCGACGTGAACCGCCATGCGACGATATCTGAATGAGCACATTCGCCTCGGGCAAATCAAAACTGGTGTCAGCCACTTTGGACACGAAGATGGTGTTGACCTGCGGCAAAGAGGAAGTGCAATGTGACTGCAAAGTTCTGCGTTAAAAATTAATATTTACTTACCTTGGCATTGAATTTAAAATTCTGTAGAATTTGTATGCGCTCATTTTGCGATGTGGGTCCATAGATGAAGGGCTTGTTCATCTTGATGGCATAGTGCTTCAGGGCAAACACATTGTCGGAGAAGACGATTGTCTTGTCTCCACGCTGCTCATGGTATTTGATGAGGAACTGGCAGCTGCGAAACTTTGAGGGGTTCATCACGTAGAGGAGCATCTTCTTGGATGTTTTGGTGGTCAGATACTCGCGATAGAACTCCGGCGACATGGGACACCACACCTCCGCACACTGGACGCGCGCAATGAAGCCCTTCTTCTGCAGCTCCAGCCAGTTTGCCTCGTACAGCTTGGGACCAATTAGGAAATTAAGATCGGCAATTTTGTCATCCTCGCGCAGCAAAGTGGCCGTCAAGCCAAGCTTGCAATGGGACTGCACAATGGTAAGGACACGACGGAACATCTTGGCGGGTATGGTGTGCACCTCATCCAGCACCATGATGCCCCATTCCTGTTCCTGCAGCCAGCGCATCGTTTGTTCCGCCTCCCACGAACGTTTCTGTGTGTGCGTTATCATGGAATACGTGGTCACCAGTATGCCGCAGCCCATGGGCTTATCCTTTGCCTCCGATGTGAAGCGACAAATCATGCTGTCATCCGCTGTGGACCACATTTTGAACTGTTGCTTCCACTGTTCCACGGAGACGCCGCTGTTGCACAGCACCAAGGCGCGCTTTCGCACCGTACAACAGGCGGTGACACCCACCAGGGATTTACCAGCTCCGCAGGGCAGGACAATGACACCGGAACGTGCGCGTCCATTGCCAAACATTTTGCGCAGACTCTTCTCCTGATAGGGTCGTAGCACAGCAGCTGGTTTCAGGTCAATGTTAATATCCGGATTGTTGGTATCGTTGCGGAAATCATACTCTGCCAGCAGCGGATGCTCGATCTCAATGCAACGTTTCTGTATTACTTCAATCTTCTCCTGTGCCACCTCGAAGGATACCGTTTTCAGGTTAGCTTCGTCCTCATCCTCCTCTTCCTTGTCAATCTTTTCATAGAAGTCGGTTATGTCATCGGGCACAGCAACAACAGCAGCGGCACCCTCCGCTGGCGTAGCACCTCCTGCTGTCGAGGTGCTGGGTGATTCCTCAGCTGGCTTGTCAACCACTGTGGGCAACTTGGTGCCGAATTGTGTAATGGCCTTACTGTCCACGGTGCCCTGTATGAAGCCCTCGCCCTCGCTGCGGATGAGTCGGCACTTCTGTATGACCGGATCCTTAAGCAGTTTCTGCAGCACCTCCGGATGCGGTGACTCAATAAAGTATTTATTGTGCTTCAGTACGAGCTTCACCTTGCCGTACGACAGCGTACAAAGGCGTATGAACTCTAAGATGCCTTCTGGAATGCTCGTCTTGCTCAAGCGTTTCAGATACTCCACAATGTCGTGGGTTTGCAGACCGACGGAAACAGCCGCATACAAACTGTAAGCGGTCAGTTTGTACTCATGTATGTGTTCGGGCCGACAGACCGGCTCCGAGATGGCAATGAGAAAGTCGTGCGCATGCTTGTAGACCGGCGAGAAGGATTCGAGAAATACATGACCGTTGGGTGCCACCCACAGTGGTCGATTGGCGTGATCCGGTCGTAGTTGCATCTGAGACCGATAATCCTTGGCGCCGTACTCATCTGTGTTGATGTTCTCGTCGTTGGTTTCTGCGTTCTTCGATGCGGCGCCCGGCACTCCGTCCGATTCACTGGCATTGTCCATGCTGTCATTGTCGTCCACCAGCTGGGTGTACGCCTCATCCTCAGCGCGTCGCTTCTTAACTGTGTGAATTCGTTGCAATTTTACCAGGCTCTCTGGTTACTCTCGGGTGGGGCTAATGCTTACCAAATTTATCGCCCGCATTGCGGTCTTTTTTCGACTTCTTTGGCGGACCCATCATGAAATTGTATCCCGACTAAACTTTATTTCATGACTAAAACATATGTTTGCACAGTGTTGGGTAACTCAAAACAGCGGCGAAAAAGGCGCGAATAATGACAAAAATTACCAAATGTTGCAAAGTACTTTTACTTGAGCTATTCCTACGAGCAAGAAATATTTTGCGATAGCTTTACGGCTTTATGTTGTTACTTACGTTTTGACAATGATAGGCATGTTTTTGTTTATAAATGCAGTTTAAATTTAAAGATATTTGTATGCACGTCAGCACTGTTTAGCGCTGTAAGATTGCTGCAGTACGCTACCATCAAAAAGCGTTGCCACATCACTGCACAAACAGATGTTATCGCTATGTTAATTAACATTACATTAAGTGTACATTACAAGACCGTTGAACCGCTGTGTTAACACCTATTAAACTTTTAAATTTTGCCGAGATTAATATTCTTATTGCTTTTGCTTTAGAAGCAAGATGCAACATCTGGATTATATGTGAGATAATTATCATAATTTGTATAGGACTATCGAAATCTTATGGACCAAATAACAAAACAATAGAGCGGTTAGAAATCTTAGAGATCTTCAGTATTTAAGTTCTTTATTTTTGTAGAAAACAATTTTCAATTGCTTTGTTAAAGCACTCACACTTATGACAAATATGTAAATTCCATAATGTGTGGAGGTAAGTCAACATCAGGCAAAATAAAAGGCAAATCGGCAATTGCATACTTCCTTCGTAAACATTTATTGAAAATCTGTTTCGCCATTGGTATATTCGATTTGGCGCATGCGCTTTATTTTGTGATACAAGCGACCATTTCGCTGGTCTTGAGAGTAAGTAAGTGTGATATTTGATAAATCTATGCTGCCTCTAAGTTAATCCAATAAGCAGTTCGATATATACTCAACCTTGGCGGTATTAGGTACAATATTTTGGGTGCTGATTGTCATACTGCTAATTGTGGGTCTGTGGAAGGTTCGTAGAAATTAGTTTATTAAAGTTCAGTTAAACGAACGGAATCAATAATAACGTTTACTTTAAATAGCGACGTCCCTTGTTAGTTAAGGCTTGGCTTGTCTTCTCAATAGGTGGCTTTATTACGGACATAGGATTCTTAATATGGGGAATTGCGTCTTCTATAAAAGTCAATTGGGATCGCTTACAACGGTTTACAATTATTTTTGTCGGAATTTGTGAGATTGTGGCACTTTTCCATTATGCATTTTTATCTCAAGCCTTACTTATTTCAGTTATTGAAAGCCTTTGTATATATATTGTACATTGTTTCTATATAAGAATGGATCCATGTCGACTTGTGGACGTGCCCGATAAAAGTGACCAGAGAAAAAAAAGGAAAAAGAAGGTGGATGCAAAGGCTTGCAAAGCGGGTATGTAGATGTTATACATTTGAGAAAAAATACATATTCGTCGTTCATAGATAAAAGCAAGAATAAGAGCAATAAAAGCAGTACGAAGTCCGACAAGAAAAATAAGAAAAAACAAGGAAAAAAATAATTGGTATTCGCTTTTAGTACTTTGAGTGTCAAAAATATATTATCAATTTATTTTTGTCATAGTAGGCTACGAGTCCTACCCACAATAAATATATTTTGAATATACATAAGTCTAAAATCAACATTTCTATACATTATCTCTTACATCAACGGATATCAAGATGAATGAACTTCAGTGTTCCAATGTCATTGGTAAACTCTGTTATTTTATAGCCATGTTCGATATGATTCAGTCCTCATACTTTTTATTTCAATCGACCAGTTTATTGGTAATAAGTGTCTGTGTTATTGATACTTATTGATACTATTGATACTGATAACTTGATCTCCAGGTGCAATTATACTCAGCACTAGCGTTTCTCGGATCGATTTTTTGGGTTTTGATGGTTGTATTGCTTATTGTGGGCCTTTGGAAGGTTTGTGTGTATATGACGAGTTTATAAAGTTCGTATCGATACATTTTTAATTGTGTTGCAGCGTCGTCTTTGGTTAATTTCCTGTTGGTTGATCTTTTCGGTAATTGGCATTGTTGTGGACATACTATTTTTTATATGGACCATTTCAACTTCCGAATCTATAGCATGGAGAGGAATTGTACATTTTACCCTTCTCTATTTGGGCATTGGTGGCTAGAAATCTTAATTTAAAATATGATTTTTCCCCTTTATAAGCCCTTTTATTTTCAGTTGTTGAATGGCTCTGCATTTATATTGTCTACAAATACTACTTGGAGATAGGTAGTATTGCTGAGAATCCTGTGGAGAAAACAATCTCAAATATTTCAATTAACCAATTTGAGCAGCCTTCAAGACGTTCAAATGTGCGGAAGTCCAAAGAGTACTTATAAAAGCTGATAAGACTCAAACAACATATATTTATTTCTTGTTCTATACTTCCAGATCACAAAGACCAGTGTCACATGACCAATCTTTCAAAAATCCAAAAGAAGAAAGCGACTGAGTCAAAGAAAGCTGCCCCAGCTTCGTTATTGTAAAGAACACGGATTATTAGCTTTTAAAAGAAGGCAGTACAACATGCTCAATATATATTTGATATTATAAGTTACTCACTTGCATACATATGACATGCATAAGTGTTAAATACAAAATAACAATGAAGTACCATGTAGTTTTGTGTGTCTATAGAATTAATAGATTTCGATTGGCATTTACTGCCCATTTCAATTCGCTGGCTAACGTCAATGCCAAAATCAATTCGAATCTACTAGCACAAACAATAATAATAATTGAGTTAGATAGTTTTCCTATTCCGTTTGTGTTTATTCTTTTTTTGTTTTGCCTCGGCCATCACGAACTTTGACTTGGCAGAGTCACGTTGTCAATGGGGCAAAATCTAATCGCCAAACGGCTATGAGGCAGCTGACAAAACAAACGCCGTAAATGAAAGATGGCCAACAGACTTGTCGCACAGCAAATGCACAGTGGTCTGTTCTTATCAAACATGTGCCTTAAATACTTTGTATTTGTTTTATGGCATATTGCATATAGTGCCCATCAACAAACAAGCGAAATGGGCTTTTGTTTTTAATCACAAGCTATATTTCTTGTATTTATAATGGCACTGTTACCACTGTGGCAATGCCATAGCGCTTGGCAATCAAATGGCATTGATTAACAAGCAGCAGGCAACGTTGGCAGCAACAACAACAACAGGAATAACAGCAGTAGCCTCATTCCCGCAGTGTGCTCTATTGAAACTACGTGCTTATCATCATTACAGCATTGATTTAGTGCACAATTTCGACCTACGTTTCAAATATTGCTGAAATGTTTGCTAGATGAGAATGGACGGCTCCTCTGATGGATATTTGGTAATTTGCAGCTATGCGATTGCGATACTGGATCTTGTGTCCGCCATACTCTTTGCCAGCGTCTCGGCCACACTATATGCAGAACACGTAAGTCATGTTGCTTCAGTTGGGAGCTTATTCAACTAAGTGCTACGAACTGTGCAGAGTCACTGGACCTCCCTGGTAGCTTTGATTTTCTCCATCATTTGGATATGCATCATTTTGATGCTGCTACTGGGGATTCGTCGGCGTCACTTGACCCTTGTGCGCTACTGGTTGGTTTTCACCTGCTTAGGCATTATGCTGGATACAATTTTACTACTTTATGGGCTGACACTGGTCGTATCAGTCAATTGGGAGGGCGTTAAGATTACCATTTTACCATTCGTGGGCTTGGGTGAGTCTCTTGCCCAGTCTTGACAAAGTCGAATCTTAATCAAAGCACTTCATAGCTGTGGAAATGACGTTTGTTTATATAATCTACATTTTCTATCTGGATATGATAGATCACGAACTGTGGATACCGTTGACATCGCGCAGATATTCAGGCGGTTCCATCACTAAAAACACCAAAGACATCTCTAACAGCAGTGACACTCAACGCAAAGAACGCAAACGTCTCAGACGCATTTACAAGAGAGAGGAGAGGACTGCTCTAAGGGAGCAGCAGCGGAATTTTCATAGGAAGCCAGTTTAGTGACCCATAACTTTATGTCGACTCCGTTCTAAAGCAGGCCAAGCATTTCTAGTACTCCAGTTAGACTAGAAAATGTCGTCATGCGAGTAAATCAGGAATCGCTTTTATATTGTGCCTATGCCATCGCTGTTTTTGATCTCCTATGCGGCGTGCTCTTTGCTGTGTTCAGTCTGACCAAGATCCACAATCATGTAAGCCAAATTTAATGTAGGAAACTGGTTATTAGATGTAATAGATTCTGTGTCACAGCTCAGCTGGCTAACTATATTTGGGGTCTGCTTTGGTCTGTTTTGGTTGGGTCTAATTATCGTGCTGATCTTTGGCATCTATCAGGTAAGTTATTGCCTACATTTATCATGTTTAAGTTTGCTATCAACTGTTTATTGTTTAAAGCGGAAATCGGAACTCGTGCGATATTGGCTTATATTCTCATCCGTTGGCATTTTTGTGGAAATTTGTCTGATTATGTATGCATTTTTAAGCCACAGCACATTTCAGTCTGGCGTTGCTAAGAACTTTTCAATACTGTGCATTGGCTTAAGTGAGCAGAAGCCCCTTTTCAAATTGAAAAATGCTTATCAAGCTCTCTTTTTCAGTTGTGGAAACCATTTTTGCATTCATCATATATCAATTCTATCTGGCGGTTGCCAAATGCAATGCCTGTGGGAAGAACTTTCAAGTGCCTCGGTGTACATGTCAAGAGCGAGTGCAGTCGCAGTCGCAACCAAAGTCAAAGCCCAGTCCAAAGCCAAAGACAAAAACAGATCCAGCGCCCCCAAAAAGAAGTTCTCGATCCTATAAATGCAACATCCTGCAAACTAAAGGTCCAAATAGCTTGTACACCTGTGGTCCCATCAATTCATCATATAGTAAATCAGGCAAAACGGAAGAACAGCAAAAAAAATAGATTTGTTTATTGAATTAAGTTATATTTTTATGTTTACATATGTGTTAAAGGACAATAGAATAAAATTAAATAAACTAGTTAATTACTTTCCAGGATCGCTGCAGTAAATTCAATTAACCGTTTACAACTTTCATAAATGTGCCCCAGATTCGATTTCAATATATTCGATGGCGTTGCTGAATATTTTTATGGTCAACTTCATTTACTTTGCAGCAACTTAAGTGTCTTGCAGTTATCGAGATGGCAAGCGCTTTAAAATTATAATATTTACTATGCACACACGCGCATTTGCCAGTGCTGAAAAGAGAATCCTTTTAAGATAATTTGCACAACAGTGAAAACAAGGCAACAAAACGAAACAGGAAACAGCATCGCAGAACTCGCAGCTTAAGCCGCAAGTCGCCCCGTTGCTGGCAGACAGCATACTTTTGTCTATTTATGCAAAAAATGTGTGCACATTTACATATACACATACGTATACTTATATAATGTCAGCCTGATGAAATACGTGCGGTGGGTATGCACACACAACTACACACACACACACACACACGTACGTAGCTTCAATCCGTGTGACCTCCCTGATGTCAAATATAATTTTCTTTTTTCGCGCTCATTTTGCACGCAGTCAGCGCAGTCAGTCGTGTGGCTGAACATATTTTCTAGACTTTTTTACTTAAAGTTATTTGTGTCAGAAAAGAGGAGAAAAGAAGCAAATAAATAGAAACAAATCTTTCTGTAAAGAGGAAAAATGGTGAGCGCATTGAATGGCTTTGGCTTGGCCATCGGTTGCGTGGATATCACTGGAGCTGTGTTCTTTGAGTTGATGATTATTTGCATATTATGGCGAAGAAATGGTATCCAGACAGTAGTTAAAAGCCAAACACAACTACAGCAGCAGCAGCAGCAGCAGGAGCAGCTGGAGAAGGGATATGTGACAGGTGAGTGGGCGACAAGCCAGCAAACTCCTCAGTAATCCTCAAACATTGCCAGGATTCCTTGGCAACCGTGTAAGCCCTTGGATGCTGTGGATCTATCTGCTCCTATTGAATATGTGGATTGTAGTTTCCTTGCTTATGGTAACCGGAATTATATTGGTGCGTGTTGTTTAGGTTTATATCTAATGCGGCACATCCAAATACTAAGAACGGATTTTGCAGCATATGCCACAGTTGTTGTTGGTCTGGCTTTCCTGGTGCCTTGGGGGACTAATATTCGATGTGGTATTTTTACTTTTGTGGATCTTTGAACTGTTCTTTGGCGATTCCATTGAGGCCTTGACCAATATTCTGATGTCATTTTTAGCTATGGGCAAGTTTCAGCTAATGCCCCGTTTTCTGGCATATTCGTCATATTCTAATCTCGTACGACTTTCTAGCTATTGAATTTGGTTTCCTATATGTTATATACAATATTTACCGGAATTTAAGGCAATCATCGACTGAAAACCAAACAACATCCAGCAATCCCATGTTGCACTTTTTATATTAATTTTACATATGTATATTTTCGAACAATAAACAATCTTGCTTCAGCATTTTAATCAGACCCTTTGACTACTTGGCTTTTTGCTCGGCTGCTTTCTGGTCAACCTGTGCCTTCTCCTTTTTAAGCAGCAAATAGTATCTATAGATAAGCAATATGATGCCGATTCGTGACAATACTTGGCCAAGTATTGAACCATGTATATGAGATAGATCCTCCAAGAATTCTTCAGTGGTGTTGTACTTTTCAGTGAAGTAAAATTCATATATATTATGAAACATTAGCCCAACGGCGTCCCATTTTATCTGAACATAGGACGTCAGTAGCCAAAGTTTTACCAACATTTTTGAGCGCTGTAATTTGGAATCTGTAATCCATATCCATTTGCAGTAACGAGCTTACTTTGCTACTTACGCTAATGACGCCCACCGCCAAGATGCCGAAGCAAATGAGCTTGAACATTTCCCCAATCAATATCATGACATCCACCATATCGTACTGTATTAAAGGAACTCTTTATAAATTGGTCGCAAAAACTGACTGCTTACCTTCATGAGTGAGGCAAAGTACACCATCCCAACCATTCCGAGAGCTGAATTGAAACCCTCGTAAATAAGCGCCATGTACCCAGCGCCTTTGATAATTATCGACATTTTTATACAGATCTATGAATATAATATTTTCGAGTTTTAGGACTGCTGTCTATATAGTTAATTTTGTTTGTACTGCCAGTTTTTTTGAGAGCCTGCCTATTTTCATTTAATTTGTATACCTTGTTAGCTGGGTGTATATAATCTTCTGTTAAAGTCTATAATATACTTTTCAGGCAGAATGCTGAATCTGTTTTTTAATTGCAATTGCATAATCAAGTGAGTTATTTGCAGCCCGTGGCTGTCATGAAGAAAAACCAGAAGAATAATGTGCTCCTGCACTGTTTTTGCCGGCGCCATTTTTTATAGCACACTTTATAGTTGCTTTGTTTTGCCTTCTAGTGCTTTGTAGTTTTTTTAATGGTCTGGCTCACGGAAATTGATTCATTTCCTTTTTTCGTTCAGCACTTCCGGTCGGAGACTAGCGCTTATAAAGCAGACATATAATCAGCTTAAAGCTAACAGTGAGTAATGCAATATTAAAATGTGGGCCTTGTACAAATCAAATTCTTATGCCAAAGTACATTCAAATCAATGGCATTGTCAACTGCCAAGCTGCCAAACTGTCACTTGCAACTCGCAGCTCAGCATAAATAAAAATAAATATATTTATTCTTTAATAAAGAGTCCGTGGACCGCTTCTCGGCTGCCATGGACTGCACTTTATTCCTCTCCACTCCACTTCACTTTCCAAGGAGCCACTGGCTGCTCAAAATTTATTGTTTGCAAATTGAAATTCTTGTCAACACGCACGAGCAACTGCAAAATCCATTGGGAATGCCGGGCACGAGGCAGCTGCTCTTTGTAGCTCGAAACAGCTCAAAGCTTGTCAATTTCGGCAATGGCTTCGATAGCCATGTGGATGGACTTTTTGTATTTATTAAGATTTTTATTTATTTCGACAAAACAAGCAAATATTTTATGGCAGCGTTAAGAGAATCCCCAGGGTAATGACAGAAGATCTGAATACGTTCATAGGAAAGCAGACTTCAAAGGTTCCTTAGCACTTTTTGAGGGTATAATTTTAATACGAAAATTGAGCCACAATCGCGCCTCCAATTTTAAAGGCAACATTAATCTAGAGGTCAGAACATAATCAAAAAACCAAGGTTTTTCAAAATCGGATGACTTTTGACAAAGTTATAGTCATGGAAACATTTTGGCAGTCACCATAAGCAATTTTATTAAACTCTCAAATTGGATTTGAAGATGAATTTAAAATTAAATGGAAAATATTGAACAGCCCCTACGGCAATTACTATTATTTTAAAATTTTCTTTTCATGTTTTATGTGGCCCCCGTAATTCGCCACTGTTGAGAAATACAAAAGTTGAACGTGAAGAGTATCTAAATTGCAAAGTCTACTCAGGAAATTGATTGATTTCCGTTTCGTGCGGTGAAAACAGAAAAAACAACGAATCAAACGAATCGAATCAGAGCGGGGAATACATAACACAGCTCGAGATTCTGGTGAGCTTTTGTAACCCAGTCAGTGAATAACAGTTTCTGAATTAGTGCAAGCCATTGATACCAATAATCCCATAATTTTGGGTTGCAATTAGCCGCTTATATAGTTTGGCACTTTGTTGCACTTGCAACCAAATGCTGTCTATGGCAGCCTTGTGCATGTTTTTGTTATGTACGCAGCCAACATAAACTCACACAAAACATATAACAGAGCGCACATGTTTCTGGCAATGCAGTCAAACGGGTTGGAGACAGAAGCTGCAGGCTGCAAGCAGCATGCTACCTGCTGCCTATGTTTGCATAGCTCTGTCCCAGGCATTGGCGTTGGCATACAGTGCGTATGTGTGATGCTAAAAGCAAAAGCTTCACTTGTTACATGCTCAATTAAGCCGGAAATGACACCAGAGCCAACTAAAGTCACGCTTTGTATAGCATCATATTTGTCGCTCAACTCGATGCACAAATATACACACATACAGACAGATAAAATCTAAAATGTAAGTCTCTGTGTGTGTGTGTGTGTGTGTGTGAATTGCATGGCACAGAGCCAGCCGAATAAAAATGTTTTATGATATTACGAGTGAAAAGGCGCTTGTAACGGGAAATATTAAACTTTCAATTTCCGCTGCTGTTTCTGTACATTTATTTATTTTCTTATAATATAATAGAAATTGTTTAATCTTTTAGTTGCGTTATTCTCTGCAAGGTTGCCATCGAATTTGGTAGAGTTTTTTAGTTTATATTTACATTCTTCAAGTGAGGAAGACACGTGAAGTGAACTTAGCTGTACTTTGAGCTCAGTCAACTTTAGTAAATAAACTTGAGACACGTTTATTAAACAATTTTAAAATATGCCACCATAATTAGAGCCGCATCCTTTTGCCTTAAGTAAATTATCGAGGACGCCAAATCGCTTTAGCAAGTTGAGCAGTACAAAGCGGCTGGCAATTAGCGCTGCTCGGCACGAAGCAGTCACTGTAATATGCTTAGTCAGGCCAAGTCCTTTTGCAGAATGGCAAAGGATACGTGCTATATATATACACGCGCGCACACACACACACACAAACTGAAGCCCACATATGTCGCTCTAAGGATACAACAACGCTGACATTGTTTTCTAGGACATACTATTAGTGAAAAGTTGTGCTTTGGTGTCGAGTTTGAGGTGACGGCGCGAAGGACATGACCACACACATACACACACACACACACTGGCACACACTAGGAATTGCAAATCAGTCGACTAATGTGTACATAATCAGTCATGTCGCAACATGTGAATTCCATTAGTGGGTACACGGCGCATGCAAACAAACAAGCATTAATCAGCAAAGGACGTGAGCGGGACAACAAAGGCAAAGACCTGGAATACATATCAGCCTAAGGCTCTGTTTTTACGTAGTCCATGTTGTCCAAGCTTTTCTGTTATTTATGCTTTTTGTCTGGCCATTTAATTATGTATATGGAATGGCTAAAAATTAGTTCTTATAAGCCACTCCATACACGCACGCCTGCACACACACACACACACACACACACACATATCCGATTTATAAATTACCCCAACTACCTTGATTTATCCCCAGATACCGATGCAGTGCAGCAATGGCACTGAAAGCCGACATCTTATTAATATGGCATTCATTTGGCCGCTTCATAGTTCATTAAAGCAGGAGCTGGGCGTCCGACGACTGCATCCTGGCGCCTTTCTTGGCCGCAAAGTGCAGCCAGCAAAAATTATGCGGTTCGTTTGCCACTGCCACGTTTGCAGCCACAACCCAGGGGCAGGCATTGGATCTGCGACAGACTCTGACTCTGGCTCCGCTTCTGGGTCCTGGCCAATCGTTTATTCTTTTATTCTCATTTATTTGCATGTCATTTGCTCTCTCTCTCTCTCTCTCTCTTTCTCACTCTGTCTCCATTCTTAAGTGGGTTGATGTGTGTTGTTGTTGCCGGTTGTTTCTTCGGTCACGTTTGCCAGGACGCCAGTTACTTATGGCTGCTGTGTGCATTATCAATATGCATTGCAGTGTTACGCTCTACGCTTTATATTTCACCAACGATTTCATATCCCACCTTGTCGGATACTTTAGTTCACTGGGTATTTTTGTAACGCACATTTGGAAATTCGTGTTCATTTCTTATATATAAGTTTCACTGAGAACCGATTGTCTCTTTAATCATGCTCTCGAGTTTAGCTATATTTGTTGTACATATTCTAATTATGTTTTTAATAAAAACAGTTTGAATCATTGCCTTAGAGAATATGCACACTTCTGCTTACTGAAAATACGCTCGTTTCCTCACATTTGTTCCATATTCTGCTCTGTGTATTGCAGTTTTAATAACAAATTGCTTTTTTATGGTTTCCGGCTTATGGAACAGCACTGAAATTGGCAAGGAAAGCAAAATCGTAGAAAGGCAAACTCTTTAATCATGTTTGGGGTATACGTGGTGTATACATGTATGTATATAAGTTTATTTTTTAAAGCTGCATTTGATGTTTTTTTTTTGCTGTTTTGTCGCTGTTACTCTGGCTGCTGCTGCTGATGGTGCTGCTGATGCAGCATTGTTGCTTTGTTAGCCAAGTCAAGTCTGCGCCAGTTTCCGTTGCTGTAGTCGCTGTTAATGTCGCTACAGTTGCCATTTCTGCTGTTTCTACCTCAGCTGCTGCCTCTGGTTTTCCAGTTAACGTTCCCGTTGCTGTTGTTGTTGCTTTTGCTGTTGATATTTGTGCGGCAGGCGTAATTAGTGCTCGTGGCATGGCATAAGGCGCACTTCCTTTACGCGCGGTTCCTGTTGTTCTATCTCAGTTGATGCTTTCCATTTGTAATCAGTTTCTGCAGGCTCCAGCGCTTTGTTCTAAGGATTTGCTAACTGGACAGCAGCAGAAGAAACACACAAACACACAAAAATTTAAGTCTGTCACTGTTTTTGTCATCATGGGTGGCTTGAATTAATTAAGTGTTTTGGTATGAAGTGATAGTTAAATGAAAATATATTAAATTCGGCTGCTAGTCATTCTGCTTGATTTGCACAACATGCTTAGTTGATAATATAAATGTATGTGATTTCTTAGTAGATCATTAAGAATTTCTTTTATTTATAAAATATTTTAATATATTTAAAATTGTTTCTTTAGAACATTAAAAGGCGATTGACATTTGTTTTAAACTTGTAATTTATTTAATATTTTATTTCTAATAAGTCTCATGATTCATGTAGTTTTCACAATTTCTACTTAGTCGCATTGGGCTTAATCAAACACGAGTAGTTTTAATTTCTCATATAAAATAAACTTGCAGTTGAAGACACAATTGGGTTGTGTTCTTCTTTGGCTGATTCAACTTTCAATGCTAATTGCCATTTCGAAAGTTTCGCGACTTGATTCAAACTTCGTTTCCCAATGGACACTGAAAGGATTTAGTTGAATGTCTTTGTATGTGTTGTATTGCCGTTTGCTCTGGCCATTGTTTGAGTTCACGCAGCCTGGCCATTATTTTCACAATTAGCTGGCAGCGACCGCCAAGGGAACCACTAGGGGATCCAACCACCTG